GAGTAGTTTGCTTGTATTTTCTCGATTATTGAAAGACATTTGCGAAAAAGGGAAAGGAGCTGAGAGCAGAAAGGTAACTAATACAGCTGCAGAAACCATATAGTCTAACGGACTTGTGGAAATTATGAATTTGGTAGCAGTACCTTTCAGTCTACTACTTTGAGATGTCGCATAGAATAATACATCCTAACAACTTATTTAAAGCCTTTCATGAAGACTGTTACGGCACTTATAAGTGCCAGAGACGTGTTTCGGCCTTTCAGCCTCATGGGTAGCACGACACCTTTCGGTTCAGTTGTTCCTCGGGGCACAGCCCCTATATTGAGGAATCGGCGTCGAACTGTTTATACTGAACGTCGGTTAAGGAATAACCGTGGCGTTGTTTTAGAGTGACGAATTCTCGATTGCGTGGGTTGCGGTTGTTACAAAGCTAACGTATGAAAACCTTACAATTGACTGTTTTGAGACATCGCTCAAAATCAATGTCATGCCGTCAATCGACAACCAATCACTGTGAAAGAACGCCTTGGTAATTTAAGCGCACGTTGAGTGTAAACAACTCGGTGTTGGTTCCTCTATGTAGGGGGTATGTCTCCGAGGAGGTGACTGAACCAAAAAGAAGCGTGCTACTAATGAAGCTGAAAGGTCGAGACACGTGTCTGGCACTGTAGAAGTGCAGTAACAGACTTCATGAAAGGCTTAAAATATGCTGTCAGGATATGTAAAAAGTGTATGAAATCTTCCTCTATAAGTGTGGGTTAGAAAGATCTTCCAAGAAGAAACCGAAAGTGTAAAAATGAGAACATTTGTGAAAACACCTTTGCAATGTCTTATGGCAAATTTGCGAGAGTTTGAGTGTAACACAAACTGTGTTGGAAGGCGGATCAACTGACGTAACACTGCCATTTTTTCTCAAAAAAATAGTGAGAAGGTTGGAATGAAATTGTTTCATATTCAGGTAATAAACTCTATGAGTACAAAGGTTACACTAAGACCACGACCACTGCGAGACCATCAACAACTACATCAGCAGTTACTAGATCCCAACCTAACACATTTATCTCTACGGCAAAAGCGAAACCCGCACGTGGACGAGTAAGCAGATTTATTTGTCCTGTAACACTTCAAATTTTGTAAAAATTTTGGAAGTATTATTCAAGGCTATAATGTGAATATAGAAAGCGCAGAATGACTAATGAAGAACTCTATATCGAAATTACTTCAAAATCTGAATCTCTCTCTACGAATTACGAAAAAGTAGCTCGCTGTTGAGCTAATGCGCAATTTTCTATAAGTCTTTGCTATTATTAATAACGTTTCAGCGGTTTCGCGCCTCGTCAGAGCCATGAGCCACGGATTCGTGTCGAAGGATCACAGCAGTTGCTATTCTTTGATTTGAGATTTGTTTCTCTTCAAAAATTCATAGAAACATTGCGCTAGCTCAGCAGAAAGAATAGCAAAAGCCCAGCTGCGGTTTGATGAGTCGAAATACAAGATTTCCTTTCTTATAAGCCAGCCAATACTAATCCGACTGCTGCAGGATGGATGGTCACTGAAGGAGGAAATAAAAATCGGTCGACAATCACCCACGGCCCATCCTCTATCCTCGAGAAAAGCCGAATGATACAGGGCTCACTGGAGTCTTGTGTAATAGACAGCGCTGAGTAGGCACTTACTTCATTCACAGCAGATCCAGACTACTCGATTCGTCTTGATGCGACAGCCTCTAGAGCATCATCGGAAAAGAACAACTACTGTGGATACTTGAGGCGATTCATGGTGGTACTGATGATGGCGAAACAGCCGAAACGTAACCATAATAATAAAAGTGATAAAAACCTCGGTCAGACCAGCAATAAAAGGAGAATATCAGTTGCTCAAACCGAGGTTCCATGAAAGTCGACTCAAGGATGGATATTATTCTATTTCCTTCGAGTTACAAAACCTATGCTACGGCTCTCCTAAGCCGTTACCATTTGCCATTAAGTGCTCCAATGGCGCTGATTCCGCACTAGTTTACACTTCGCATAACAGGTCAACATATAGAACATACGCCTGCCGCGATAGGACAATATAGAGCTATTCACGACTTCACTGTAGTCGAAAACTGCTGAGCGGAAGCGAAGAAGCTATTCCAAATCAACCTACACGTCTTCAACTGCACAAATTCTATTCGCCTTTGTCGCCTATGGTACGCAAATCATTGCTCAACTTGAGCGAACAATAGTGGAATCTCTTTTTTCTCGAGTTCGACGTCACTACTCACTCGGATGTCTTCGTTCGCTTGAGAAGGCCAAGAGCATCACAGTTTTCCTTTGATACTCTTGAAGTTCAGTGGTATGACAAGAATAGACATTTTCAATATGCTAAGAACTGTCACGCAATGGTTTTACCCTAAACTGGACTTCCGATGGAAGTGTTTGAACTCATCATTATATTTTTTGGCACATGAAGCGATGGGAAAGCCAACTGATGTATACATTATTAGAATGCCATATTTTGTGTGATTTCAGGGTTTTTCACGGCGAACATTTGCCACCAAAAAACCAAGACTTTTGGGGACAACCAAGTCGACCACCGTCATCGCTACGACTACAGCGACCACTGCGACCCACTGCGACCCACTATTACCACTACTGCTACTAATACCTCTACGACGTCTAGGCGATTAAGTGAAAGTAAGCAAAACATCTTTATGCTGAAAAATCGGAGTAAAATGTACAGCTTCCTTCCTACAGAGTGTGTTGATCTGAATGCGCATTGCGGAATGTGGGAACAACTTGGCCACTGCAAACATTCTACAAAATACATGTCACATTATTGTAGAAAATCTTGCAAATTTTGTGATGAGCGAACCAAATGTGAGTTGTTGATTGACTTATTGGTCAGTTTTCTCAGAGCTGTCAGAAAAACACGTTGATTAAAATGTAGCTGATTGATAAATGATATTTCGCATCGAACATATCTAACCCCTTCACACACTCAGAAAGAATGGCTTGATAATGCAGTGGAGCATTTAATGAGCCCCAGAAAGGGTAACAATGTGTACAAAGGCTCCTCAGGCTATGTAGTTATGCACTCATGTCAGATTTCCTGAGGTTGTACCTCACATTGTATCCTGCTGCCGAAAATCACTCAGCCAGAAGATAAAGTTGAAAAAGGAAAGGCCAAAGAGTTTCGTTTATCGCTGCCTACTACATTCACAATTTTTTAGCGAAATTACACCAAAATCCGAGCCCGATGCGGGGCTCGAACCCGCGACAGCCAGATTAAGAGTCTGGTGCTCTACCGACTGAGCTAGAAGGGCTGCCAGCGGTGTTTCAATGACAGAATTGTTCTACGCGTTACCTGTAACTGATTTTCCAGGATATTATTAAGAAATTCATATGATTATTCAACCGCAGTCCTGCACTCAAACTTCGGAGATTGACAGTACGGTGCTCTACCAGACAGGCGACCAAATCACGCGAACAACGATCAATAAGGGCAGAAATGTTCCTTCAGTTGATGCTGTCAGTTGCACAAAATATTTCTGGCCACGGGGCGCCAAAATGCCAGCCCGGTGCGGGGCTCGAACCCGCGACAACCAGATTAAGAGTCTGGTTCTCTACCGATCGAGCTAACCGGGCGAAGCACAGCAGCCGAATGACAGGAGAGTTCCAGGCGTTACCTGTATCTAATTTTCCAAGATCACCTGTATCACCTGTCGTCCCGTTGATCGTTGAGTGACTCGACCAGCAACAGTTCCATTTTTCCCTATCGCGTGCAAGAGTCGCCCAGTGGGTCCACCTTGCTCTAGGGATTCGCTGAGCATCATAGCTTTCTTCTATCGTTTTAGTGAAGAAATCGGACCAACGGGTCGGTGGTCTTCCATAAAAGCGCTTGACGTCGCAAGGAATCCAGTCGGTAAGGGCTCTCGCGCATCGGTTGTCGTTGAAGCGCATCACGTGTTCGGCCCACCTTATTTTCGATATCCTGGCGTGTAGAACGGCGTCTCTGATTATCGATCGTTGACGTAGGTCGGAACTTCGGATCCTTTCTTTCATTTGCGAGATACGGGATATTCCTAGCATCGACCTTTCGACTGCGCGTTCGATAACACCAAGTGATTTTTATCTTCTTACGTAGCGACCAGGTTTCTGCTGCACACGTCGGGCAGGGATAATTGTTGAGTCGAAAAGGTGGGCACGGAGTCGGATGTTCTTTGTCCTCTTCACTACATCTTCGATGCTCTTAAACGTTCCCCAAGCCGCTCGTTTCCTCCTGCTCAACTCTGGAGCTAGGTCGTTCAACATGTTTATTTCACGACCTAGATAGACGTAACTGGAGCATTCGGAGATTGTCGTTCCGTTGAGCGTGGATGGAGCACTCAAAACCCATCCGTTCCTCATGAACATCGTTTTCGTTAGATTTATCGAAGGCCAGTCTTTCCACAGGCGTTATCAAAATCGGTCAACATTCGTTCCGCTTGGTTGATGCTTGGAGTTATGAGAACGATATCGTCAGCAAAGCGAAGATGGTTTAATTGTCGACCGTCAATTTTCACTCCCATTTCGTCCCATTCTAATGTTCGCATGACGTTTTGTAGGGTGGCAGTGAATAGTTTTGGCGATATTCTATCGCCTTGTCGAACCCCTCTTCTTATGTCAATGGTGATATTGTTGTAGAATGGAGATGTTTTGGTCGTAAAATCCTTATAAAGCTCAAGAAAAATCATTATATATCGAGTAAGGACGCCCTGGTCATCCAGAGCCTCTATAATCAATTCTGTTTCCACTGAATCAAGGGCTTTCTTCAAATCGACGAAATTAAATTATTAAAAAATTCATATGATTATTCAACCGCAATTTGGAGCTCAAACTTTAGGGCTTAACAGCACGGGTGCTCTGTCAGACAGGCGACCAAAGCAGGCGATCTCCGATCAATAAAGGGCAGAAAAGTGTCATGAATTGATGCTGTCAGCTGTAGAAAATTGTTCTGACCTAGAACGTCAAGATGGCAGACCGGTGTGGGGCTCGGACCTGCGACAGCCAGATTAAGAGTCTGATGCTCTACCGATTGACCTAACCGGGCTACATCAGCTGTGAATGAAAGGTGAAATAATACATGACTCAAATAGGGGAAGAGCGAGGACCTCGACAATATAGAGAAAAAAATAGTGAGCTCCGAAAAAGGTAATTGCTGACTCGCGGCCACTTCCAGTTCCATGTTTTGTTCGTCTCCTAGCACCCTCAATAGTGTTTCTCATCAAATCCTGCCGGTAACAATGACTTAGATAGAAAATAAATGTTGAAATCTGCAAATATTTTTTTATTTTAACCGTTTTTATAGCAAGCTTCAAAACATTGTAACTTCATGTTCAATAATGTTGAGTGTTATGTGGGGCTCTGCAGCTCAGGTGAGAGTTGAACTCGCGTCTCACCCTGCACTGAGTTTAATTCGTGTCACAGGTTCAGAGTTCTGCACATCACTCAGCACTATTAGCTGGAAGTTGGAAAACTGGAAACTCCTAACATTGCTCAAAAGACAGTTTTGTTATCCACATTTGTTCATTTCTTCTCAAAGAGTTTCTTACTTATATACAAGTCTAGTAAGAGTCCCTTTCTTCAGCCACTACTGTGACGACGTATGCCAGCAAAAAAGGAAAAGGTCGAGGCGGTAATGGTAGGAGGTGGAAGCGAAGAAGTTGCTGGAGGACAGGAAAAATGTACAGACAAGAATCTCTTCTGCGGATATTGGGCAAAAATTGGTGAATGTAATAGCGAGAGTAAATTTATGAAAATCTTCTGCAAAGCATCTTGTGGACGATGCTAACTTGATTGAAACGACCTATTGTGAGCAAAAGTATGTTGCAAACATTATCAGCAACACTGTTGGCGTTTCACATCTGCTTCTTAGATTTTATGACCTCTGAGAAGCTATGCAATGATATCATTTTGTGCTTTCTTAAGCTGTCAAAGTAAGTGAAATCTATCTACTTGCCTGTCATTATCCATTGTCTTTCAGTTGTTAGCAGGCTCTTTTCTCCTCAGAATCATGTTTTTTTCCGTGATTCATTTTTTCATATCTTCAGCTTTTAATTTCAGAGAATTCTATATCTCTACGCAAGTAACGCCTTGAAACGCTTGTGATGTTACAGCGCAGAGAAGTTTGCTACTTCTTCATTAGACTTTAATCAGCCGGGTTTATCTCGTCTTTGTTAGCAACACTGTCGCCGGTGCTTATGATCAGTCTCTATCGGTCCGATCGCAATCGAGCAATACGTATTCAATTCACGTTTTGAGAGCTTATGTCTTTCATTGCGATATTCAACCCATCTATTAATTTTCTCCACTACTTATCACGAAGAAATTCACAGATAAATTATTAAACCACAGTTTGGTAATTAACGAACGTTTTTGACAGATGCATTGTAATAATTGTAGCTATAAATTTCATGTATGTCGATTCAGTCTGTGCAAGCTACGGTTTCACATTTGTACCACCAGAAAGTAGAGAACTTTATTGCTTGAAGTGAATTATCGAATAATTACAACTGCTGTGCGGTGATGCGATAATGTCGACCAGAATGGCGTTGGCGAAGATGTTTGCTGGATCGAGTTCCATCTGAAGTTAGTTGAATAAATGGAAAGCGGGGAGAAAGACCAAAAATTTACCAAGGAATAGATTCAAAGAGTTCTACCTCCATGTAGTAGCAATAGAGAGGTGTTCACAATCTGACATTGTTGAGTCCTTCACAAAAGATAAAATATACCCATTGACGGAGAATGGTATGCAAAACTTTTGCGTCAGTTGGGACGCGAATCCAGATTTCACCCTATCCGGGGGAGCGTGCTTGAACCGTTGCAAAATATGGGTTCGCGTTCCACCTGACGAAAAGTTCTACATATCACTCTACGTCTATGGGAATATTTACAACATTATACCATCTGTAGTAGCGGTATAATGAAGAAATTTTGTACAATCATCTTGAGACAAAGTATCTATGAACTCAAATAATCTTACTTGACTGGAGAGTTCAAGTTTTAATAGTCTATGAGAGCTTCAAACAAATGTACAGTAATGATTCACCAATTATTTATCCAATCTTTTGTTTGCAGTACCGATTTCTACTTTGAAATTTTGTTTTTTTCGATTATTTTGGTGGGATAACGCGCCAAGAAATGTTGTTTTGTTGAGATAAATTCAAAAGATCATAGATCAATTTGAACTAACATTACCTTTGTGTCTTTCAACAACGCTATTCCAACGACTCCTTGTGTTCTAAGCATCCATTGTTTTCTAAGTTTTCCAATACCATGATGATCTGAAGTCTTCCACCACACGCAATGATTTCGTCTTGAGCAGCCGTCTAAAATTAATAACTATCTTATACGCGCATGTAGTCAAATATGTGCACACGAGCGAATTTTTTCAGATAATTCTATCCACTAGATGTTCCGAGCTCCATAATTTCACCCTTGTTTTATCACTGAACACTTAATAATTGATAAGTGAACATGTAACTATACGAAAGGAAAAGCCATCAATTAGTGATTTCTTGCTTGAGCCATAATTCAAAAGGTAACTTAAAAACAGCAAAAACTTTCAATAATAACACCAACCTCAACCTTATCGTAGATCTCTAAGCCATTATGTAAACCTCGAGTATTGAAACCAAAGTAAAAATAAACACAAGCTCCAGCGTCATAAACTTGAGTGATCCTGAACGATTTTGAATATCTGCTATAGTAAAATTGGCTAAGGGTTGAGGTCAGCGTCGGATCCTGAGTGTCAGAGAGATGTGTGATTGCGGCTCAGTTTGCGCGCATCAGTTTTACGGACAGAACAACTGAAAATCATCAAAACAACATTTTTACAACAACAGGAAACTTGATAATCCAAGAAAACTGCGAATTTTTAAGCGATGTTGAAGATACGTCCAAGAATACTTAGTTGGAATGCAAAAAATACGACCCTAGGCGGTAGTTGAACCCACTACAAACCCATACAAAAGACGCGTATCACCACTAGACCGTCAGCGCTACCGCATTCTACCACTTTGCTGAAACTATAAACTCTGACTGATACACATGATCCAAGAGTTCTCTATGATTTAGAAACATCAAATTAATGAAGTCCCATTAACTTCTAAGGGACGACGTGTACCAGCTGAGGTACGCATTCAGTTTAGTTTTCTCTTAAACATTTGATTGTCATTCGAAACCTTAACTTACTACGATTTCAACAAAATGTTTGATTTTTCAAAGAATGTTCAAAGCCTAAGCGAGGTTGGTACGCTAAGGCATACTCGTGTAAAACCTCGCTTAGGCTTTGAATATTCGTTTGTTTTCAATGTTTATTGCGAGGTCTTAAGAACACTCGATGCCACGGATCAGTGTTGTTCCACCAGCCGAGATGCATCGACTGAGAAGTGGTGATGGCACAGTGTCACTGTACTCTGTGCCGTCACCACATACGCCTCCCTCGTTGCTACAATGCAGGGCCTAAGGTAGGGCGTGGGTCACTGACGAGGAAGGCCAGACCTCCGAAACACCCGTGTGTGGCCCTGGCGTACCAACCTCGCTTAGGCTTTAAACATTCTTTCTTTTCAGACCATTATATTACGGTGTAGCAGCGAAAATAAAATTTTGCTTCACACTCAGTTTGCATTGCTTGTTAGGCAGTGGGCTTGTGAATGTCTCTTCGCCAAACTTTTCTAAGCATTCGATAGCCCAAATCTCGAGCTTTTCAATGCGTAATTGATTATTCTAGAAGGTTATCATAGAACGCTGCAAGAGCGAGAAGAAGATTACGTTTTGCACTCAAAGATTTTATCGTACAGAAAAGTTGATATGCATGTAGAACCTATGGTCATGTAGAGAAAATCATGGAGTAACAGAGCAGCACAAAAAACCCAAGGTTTTACTTTCAAAAATCTGATTCCAAAAAGATTTGACCCACTTAGAAATTGAGCCAGTAACCCTCATACGTGATATCAAACGAAGTTTCTAGTGTGATATTATATCTTGCACAGATTATCTTGTCTTCTTACATGTAAATCAATTAGGAATATGTGTAGCTTCATTTACCGCTCGCAGCTGAGTGGTCAAGTGGTATGATTCTCGCTTAGGGTGCGCGAGGTCCCGGGATCGATCCCCGGCTCAGCCTGGATTTTGCACAATTAGCGTTTTTTCTTAGTCGCGTGCTCTATCGAACTAGATGCTAACAAAATAGGAGAGTACGGCGCTTCGAAAAAGTAGCCCTGGCGTCTTTTACTAGTTTTCAATCGTGCTTAATACAGAATCAAAAATCGTCGAGATTATGATAAGAAGACCACTAATGGATCCTTGTTATAGGGAGATTTTTGGTCACCTGCCTAGCGACTTCTCTGAAAAAAGCGGCACCATGAGCAAAATCGGGAAGCACAAGGCTGCCGTATCGTTTTACTTCTGGTAGCAGAACGATCTTGATGGTGACCTGAAATATGAACATTGTTTTAAGATCTCTTTCTAGAAATTATAATAGCATGACTGAGCTTTTCAAAACATAATTGGACATTGAAATAGGCACTAAGGATACCTAAGAACGCCTTCTAAGTCCGATGAAACATTACACCATCAAATTCACCACATCAGAAAAGGAAGAGAAAAAAGGACAAAAATTCATATTAAATAGGTAGCTTAGGAAGACTGTGATATACCTAATTTCTTGTCCGGCTTAGGGAGACCAATACACTGAAACGGATAGGCCACTCTGCATCCGCATGAGGGAGCGCACAAAGAGCTAAATTGTTAGCGTCGGGCAAAATACTCCGCCAGCCCCTATATGGCATGAGGACATTACGGAAAAGATCTTGAAGTAACAGTCAGTGTTTTCGCGCAAGAATCTAAATATCTGCGCGACGAAATTCTAAACATGTTGAGTTAGGCCAAAATCCATGAAGAAACAGCAAGGACGAATGTATTGTTAGCGCGCGTGACCTAACGCTATACTTCAGGCTAGTTTTTTTTTCCCTCCAACCAAACATATTATCGTCCCATGCAAGACTCTGAGCGGCTCTTCTCCGTTGAATAACTGGATTACTCAAACTG